ATCATTTGAGTTTGGAGGCCAGAGCCTCAATCATGAACTGGTTGCCGGCCCCACCTTGGGTCCATCTCTGTTGAATGTTCTCTTACGATTTCGTCAGGGTCGAGTGGCGGTTTTAGGCGAAATAACCGCCATGTTTCATCGAGTTAGACTCCGACCGGAAGAGCGACGAATGTTTTGGTTCCTATGGAAAGATGAGCATCTTGACAAATGGGTTGTCATAGAGTGGTTGGTGCTTCCATTCGGGGCTGCATGTAGTCGGTGCTGTGCAACATTTGCCCTTCAGAAAGCTGCTGTGGACCGGGTAGACCAGTATCCACGAGTCCAGTCTACAATAGAGAAAGAGACCTACGTAGACAACCAGCTGGCCAGTCGAGACACTGAAGAAGAGGCTACCCAACTTGTCCAGAGCACACGCAAATGCTTACAAGAAGTAGGATTCCAGACAGTACATGAGAGTCTTCCCAATGAGCCTTGTTCAACTCGTCAGGTACAATCGTTGTCACTGGACCCACAGGGGGGCGATCCAGAGCCAGCTCTTGGGCTATGCTGGGACTGGAAGAGTGATGAGCTGTATCACCCAGCCAGGGTTCCAGAACACAATGTGCTGACATGTGGTTTAATTTCCGGCCGTGGCCAATTGATGCGGACCCGGATCCTCGTCTGTGAACCAGACAAACAAAGTGGTATACAAATTGAAAACGCTCAACAAACCGTGAGGGGCCAGTCTGTTTCAGTGTCGGTGAGGCAGGCGGTAACATACGCGTGCAGTGTATGCAGTGGCGATGGACATTGCATTATGACAACTATACATGTAACAACTCATGCATCGCCACTTACCAAGAGCAAAGGCAGATTAGATTGAGAGATTTTATTATCTAAGCTGAATCCCCCCCAATATTTTATTTGCAACTTGTTTCTTATACGCTAAAACAGAAAACAACGTGGCCAGTATATCATTTACCTCATGAGAATTTTATTTTCATTTTGTCTCTGGAGCTAAACTGTTTTCATTTATTTTTTTTCATAGGCTATTTGACGTGCAACTTGTTTCCTTTAAGCTAAAGCAGAAAACAACGTTCAAAGAATGTCATATACAGCTACCTCATGAGCATGTCATTTAAAACCGGAAACTGGAGTTGAAAGTTTATTATTCATTTTTAATTTGTCCATGGTTGTGCTACTGTATTTTAACAAGCTCAATCTTGCCAAGAATAGAAGCCTCTTGTTTGAGTGAGTTGACTGAAACCATCGCCTCTCGTCATATTTTATGGTCTTTTTATTAATTCAAAATTGTTAATTCACACATCTCATAGTAACAGGGCCATGCACTCTAAAGTATTATGTGCATGTACATCACTTCTAAGAAAAAAAAACCGCGTCATTGCATCACTTTTGGACCAATCCCATTACCAGAAACCGGAGTCTTTTTTTGTTTTGGCCTGCGGGTTTGCCGACCTGGAACCTAGGTTTCGGGCCTTAACAGCCATATTTATTATGTAGGTTTTATGAATCCAGTTGTTTAAAAATATCACTGAGAACTGATTACAGTTATATTGCGTGTTTACTGTCAGCTGGTATTTGCTCGTGAAACTAAATTATCTGTACTCCAAGTACAAGATGCCTACCAAATTGTGACCGCAATCGGTGCTATAACGAGTGCATTAAAAAGATAGCATGTTAAAATTTGAATTTTCGGGTTAGAAAAATGAAGGTTGACACAAATACATTTGTTGGATGATATTGGATTTGTGGGCCTTTGGTTGGAATTGGGAGCACTGTATCCATCCACATGCCTCCCATCCAGCTAGGACTGCTGTGCCCATGCCACGCTATGTTGACGTAAGAAAACTTGTAAACATACTGGATTTTCGTTGATGGTTTCCATTCAAAATGACCTCTGTAACCTATTTCCGGTAAAGGGAAAACCTTTTGAAGTCCACCGTTGCAGGCCGTCTTTGACATACTGGAGGTCCCTGACCCCACTCTTGTACTTGATGTTTCCGTTCCTTACACATACAGCCGCCCTCAAGGGTGTTATGGGTAAACAAGCAAATTCTTAGGGAGCCAATTTTAGGAGGGTCAAAATTGTTTGGAAATTTTATATACAACCTGTAAGGTGTTTCGGAGGGTTGACGCTAAACTTTAGTGCTAAATTTTTACACGCTTTTTGCCATTTCATTCAGTGTGGAATGATAAGCTAAACACTTGACTTGAAAATTATCGTCTGGCCCATAATCTTAACTACAGATCCCTAAAAAGTTAAATTTCACCGCGTTATAGCGTCCTCATAATTCTTCTAACAATGAGTCGACGTCGACTTGCAAATAATGTGACCCACCATTTCAAAACCAGGCTTAAGTGTAATTGTGATGTTTGACAATTCCTCTGACTCACGAGATCTAAAGTCTAAATTCTGCCTTAACATGAACAGTGGCAGATATGAAGTTACTTACTTCAGCATAGCATAGTCGCGGCATTTACTTCTAGGCATCACACTGCCAGAATTGAAACCATTGTGTGGAACCTGATGAGGAGGGAGTTCATTTTCTTTTTTGGATTTCCATGCTACTTCGCTTCGCTCTTACGCGTGAAAAATAGCCTGAAGATGGAGCACTTCAAGGAAACATATGGACAATTCATATATATTTTCATGGTTTATTGGATTGCATGGAATTGTGGTCAGAGCACGGGGTCCGTGTGTTTGACCTAATATTATATTTAATCAAATATTCTACAGTAGTCTAGTAACACTTCGTTTACAACTATTCGAACTCGAATGGAAAGAAAGGGGGAAAACAAAAAGTGTTGACACATAGCAACATTCGAAGCGGCAAAGTATCGACGAAGGATAAAGACTGGGGAATAGGCATCTAAGATGTCGTAAAGAAAGCCAGTGTTGCCATCTCTTTGTATATCCGTTATAGACTTGGGGATGAATACCGAAATACATTTATTGTCGTCGAGATATGAAAGGTGACTAGCCTTAATATAAAGGCTAGTCGACGAAATATAAAGCCCATTTTGGGCTGACACAGGCAGTACGTAGGTCCAAAAGTGAACAACCGGGTGCAGCGAATGTATCAATGACAGCTTTAACTCGAACTATGGCTTATTTTTAAATGGCCGCTTTTGGTACAAGGGGTTGATGTAATGCGAGACGACCACTGACAATAAGGTGTTGGACCACAGGAGAGTCAACGGGGATGTGCTAGTGCAACCACATATCGATGCGGCGGTGGTCCAAGAAGACTGAAGAATTGGATTGCTTTTTAATATGATAAAGGTGAGCGGTCAACACCTCATCAGAATCGGTCTGACTTAATCCTTGGACACTCAGGGAGAGAAGGCGGGCACATGCTTGCGCGCTGAAATACAATCATTTGGTGAAATGCACAAGGGCTCACAATATGGGGCGCCCACATGAGCCCACCTTTTCCCGACGGCGAAGGCGTCTTTGGAACTCCATAGCAATGTGAGTAGCTCGTAGATGCTTCGTGTCACTATTTCACTGGAAAAATTGACATGCCAAGAAATACAGCAATTAACATGCCCATGGCGTGACTGGCAACATTTTCTCATGTGAATATAACACTGTGTTAATTGGCAAAGCATTGAAAAATGGGGACAAGATTTATGATACTCTAACAAATCTGAAATTTGAGTTGAGGGGAAATACGGTAAGTAATGTCAGATTCATTTCAAGAACACACAAATCCTCGCACAATGCGAGATCAAGTATTTGGAGTACGTTGAAGATTTTGTTTAGCAAATAACTAAATATCTGTCACAAATTTAAGTACCAATCGCGAATATATGATAAGGTGGAAATCTCGAGAGTGGTCGATGTGGCTTTAGAACTTTATTCAGAGGACAATAATAGGATAAACAAGAAATTTCACATTGCAGAGTATGTCTATGCAACTTGATTGAATTACTGTTAAATACGTCAAATTACTGTGAATGAACATGTAGCATAAGGACCATGGCATGGCCCAAGTGACATGCAACTGAGACTTGTTTTGCGAAATTGATATACATATAATACTGGAGTGAACCTATTATTTGGTATGTTCAAACGTAAAGATGCTTTAATTTATGCCTGTAAAAGTATGGACACCAGTTCCTTTTTAGATATTAAAGGAGATAGCATGTCAAAATAAATTTTGCATGAAAAATTCGTGAAGTTCCCTTTATTCTCACATATAAATTTAAACAGAGTAATCAAGGGGTTTTTCTGTCATTTTGAAAACTAACTGCAAAATTATGGGAATATTCATACAAAACCCTGTTTTTTAATTAACAGCAAATGATTATTTTTCAAGATTTGCTTTCACAGACCTGTCCTCAGTTGCAATTTTCGTATAGCCATACCAACCGTTATTTCTCAGAAGAAGGTCTGAAAAAAAGTTCCATAATATACTGTTGAATATTTTTGAAGCATGTTTAAAGCTGCAAGGACATTTTTCAAGGCCTTTTTGACAGAGGAGGCGTCAATGAATAGAACCCTTACAGAAATGAAGTGTTGGAAGGAATTTCACAATAACATACGAGCAAAAGACAGTAAACTAGTTGTCAGCATGTATAGGATACATTATTTCTAAACTTTTGATCCTGGGAAATATTTCTCAATATGTAGGGTACATTTTCGCATGAAGTTAACAGGCATTTAAAAAGTTTGACAAATGCACATTCTTGTATGCTGAAAACGGGATATTTTCTAGAGGTGTTTTGACACAGGAAGATCCCTTTTTTGTACCTCTTACTGAAATTAAGTTTGACTAGTGGTCTGACAATTTAAGTCATGCAAAGAAAATGCAAATGTAGGGTACATTTTTGTCTGAAGTAATACGGAATTACGAATTGCGGCAAATGAGCACTCTTGTATGCTAAAAACGGGATATCTTTCAGAGACGTTCTGTCAGACAAATAGGCATTCCATATAGCCCTTACTAGTGTGGCCAGTAAAAAGATGCTATTTGTGAAAAAAAATCAAAAAGTCGTTCAATTTATCGTGGAACAAAGTACCGCAAAACGGAGAAATTTCTGCCTCCATTTACTGCATGGATTATTGTTGTTGACGTGAACCCGAATCGCGGGCTTTTTATATGACACTAGGCAAAATCGTCGAGTGGTTAAGAATTAGCCGCGCGTTGCCAGAGCTAGTCAGTGAATAGTGGTACTGGTCATATTGAAAGAATTTTACAGTTACATAAAAGGCCTTACGTATAATTATAATGTTAACTTTCGTGAGTGTAGTAATCCTCTTTTTTACAACTGTGCTCTAAAAATCACTGCGGACATCTATTCTTTCCAGTTGGGCTATTTCAAGTATAGGCAATAACTCTAAGTTATGGAGTTGCATCGATTTTTCCTTGAATGTGCATCTAGTCTCCCCGCATTTAAACTCAAATATAGAATTAAATTACTAATTAACTGTTTAAGTAATGATTTTTTTTCTTACGGAGTTGCAGCAGGCAAAGGCTACACGGTCATGTGCACGTGCATTTATTATTTGTTGCGTTATTTGTAAAGTGTTAGTGTGTTGTTGTCTTTGTAGAACTTTGTTTATTGGTAACTGGGGACCCCCGCTCGACAAGTACTGCTTCTTGGGCGCCCCCATATACACCGTTTGTGAACTGTTTGTATAGAGTAATATTAATGTGGGAAACTTTAATTGAAAGTGAACTGAACTATGAGTCCAGGTGCCGCACGCGCACGCATATAGTTGGGGGTGATAGTTAGCCGGTCTATGATAATCGTCATTTTTAACATATTTCTAAAGCATACGCAACCAATTCACCCCTCCCCCGGCCCCCAGCGTACGGTTTGTACGCTCGTGAAAATAATGGTCCCTCATTTGCCCATGTTAACGTATTGCTACTGGCAAACCAAAAAAATTAATTAAAGAACACCGCGCTAGACACTAGGAATAGGAATTGATAACCTCGCGGTTACAGGTCATGCACGAACAGTGCATTGAAGCCATCACCCCTTCCCATGGGGTGCACTGCCCAACTCAAGGGAAATTCTTCACCAAGCGGATGCGCTCAAAAAGTACCCCTGCAGTTTATTTGAAAAAGAGCAGATTATGTGGCCCAAGAAATTGTGGAATTGTGGGAGAATGGCCCAGAATGAACTCCCTAAATTCAAAGGCTCCCATCCCAGGGCGAAGCATAGAAAAATGCTACTGAAAAATTGTCCCAAGAGCCTGAAAAGGTGGGGAAAGATGTCATTTGAAAAATGGCCGCTGACAGAATTGGGAACGTTCACATTTGGGGGCGGGTGAGTTTGTTTTGGGTGGATAATTAAAAATTTCATTGGTTAACTTATTAAAAATGAAAATCAATTGAAAGCTGAAAGACCCCAGAACGCTTTGATTTTGATTGAGAGGCCTGAGGGACTTCTGTTGCCCGCACCGGGGCTGCAAACGTGGTCGATTTTACATCGTCTTCAATGGGGCTTCAATTAGTTCAGTGCACCCACGGTCCTGTACCTCCTGTTTGGCCGACGGGCGAAGGGTACGTCTTTAAAAGTGTTGACAGCGCCCTCATGCGGTCGGAAGCCAATCTTTTTTCGGATCATAATGGTTGTGAATTGCAATGGCGGCCACTGTGAGTCCGTTCGATAAAACTGAACGGAGAAGGCTTTGGATTGGAAATATCGACGAAAAAATATCAGAGTAAGGACAAGATACAGATAAGTTTGGGGTGAAAGTACTCGAGTTTCCCATTATACTTGTAAACTAGTCCAATAAAACGTTAAAACGGCAGGTATAAAGAGGGTTGGCTGGCCGGACTCGGGTAACGTTCGTACCGTGTGACTAGACTACGCATGTCACTCAATGTCGTACTGTCTGCGCTGCGGCCGTAGTAGTACATGTAGCGCGGCGTAGGTGCTATGGCTATACGATCTTTGGGCATGTCATCCATGTTAGGGCCAGTGTGGTGGTCTCAGCAGTCTTCCGGTCTCAGTGGTCCCCCCTGATGTAGCCGGACATTTCAGCACGACACAAGCACGGTCTCAATGGTCTTCCGTGCTGAGATGTCTGCATGACTAACTCGCTCGGTATAAGCGGTGCTGTTATCTTTGGTGTAGGCCTGTACAGTACACGTCACGTACAATGTTGGGCCAGATTTCATGTACAATGTTTACCCAATCTGGCCCACATAGATTCAAAATGATGCATTGCTGCATTTTAAAATAAGAGATAGTAGTCCCAAGGAGTAAAAAAGTGAACATATTTTGGGAACATATGTAAACAAATGCAGGCAATGTAAGTGCATTGTGCATATTGCGCAAAAATCGCACTGCCATTTATCGCTTTGCCCAAGGCTTTGCCCATTATTTGCCCATACTTTTCAAAATCACGGTTATACAGTATGCGCAAACAGGCTGTCTATTTATTTATCTGTCTGTGGTGATTTTGCACGATGGTAGAAAGGCATTGTGGGAAGGAAAAAAAGGGCAATGTTTTTAATACTATTCGGTCTGAGCATGCTGCCGCCATAGGCATGCAGAACCTCGATTTGGCAGCTTTACACAATAAATATAGCCAGTTCAGTGATTCCTGTGTATGATGCTTATGCTGCGTGAGTTCTTATACCATGGAATTGGACAAAGCAATTCTGACTTGATTGTACAAACTGGCAGTTAAAGGCTCTGCATGCCTATGGCGGCAGCGTGCAAAGAGAATTGGATCAGTCGATGTGGTTAGGAAGGTTTCAAAGAAACGGGAGCTGTTGACTAGGGTTATCATGTGACAACTACGTCATTCCAGTTGTGCTATGTACACACAAAGACTTAAGATGCAAAAACTAAATAAATGCCAGTTTGACAAAGATGGGGAAAAGTCATCCATCTAATTAATTTTCTCTGACAAATTTAAATCTGCTGTGGATTATAATTTAAAAAAGTCTCATGATGGAATGGAAAGTGCTCATTTGTCCACAAAGTAATACAGTAGTCTGTCTTTTTCAAAGCTTTTATTCTCAACAGATTAAAGGAATTCTGTTGCATCTGAACTCCTTGTGTGTACTTGTATACACGTGCAAGCGTTTGCTATGTTGCTTTCATTTCCTTCTACATTTCATTATTTTATTTGTTATATGTTGAAATACAGATTCAATCTACTGAAGTTATTGCGACGCTACGGTGAAATTGCCCAGTTTGACTTTCTGTTCCACAAGACAGGTCCAAGCGAAGGGAAACCAAGGGGATACTGTTTTGTGAGTTTCAAGACACAAGAGGTACATTATACGAAAATTTCTCTGCATTTTGCTAATGCTTACTAAATCTTTGTTAACATATTATTTTTTTCATTTTATTGATGAGTGTTTTTCCACACACTGAATAATGCAAAAGCCCACTGCATGAATACTTGCATAATGGCTGAGCATTTATTCCCTAATGCTTGGCAGATCCTGTGTCCACAATTAGAGCTTAGACAGTTTGATTGCCCTTGCGTCATGTTTTGATCATGCAGTGGTCAGCTATAAGCCTAATATCGCTTCCTGGGGGTGTTAAAAAATACATACATTTGAAAAATTAGGATAACGTGATTATTTCATTACTTTGTGTTGTGAAGGTGTTGGTTCTTATATACGATCTAATCCCAGCAGTCATGAAATTAAAAAATTTAAACGAATGGCATCGATCAAGAAGTTTGGATTTTGTTGAATATCATAAGAAATGTGTCAATAGTGGTCAATGGTCTATTGTGTCTTCATTGTTATCCACAGGAAGCTGAGCTGGCCATACATGGGCTTGATGGTAAACTTGCTCTGAACAAGAGACTTGCAGTAAAATGGGCCCATTCACAGACACCGAACTTCAAGGTACATGTACAAGGTTTTATACTTCAAATAGGCATTTCAACCTGTTGTGTTTTATGGGTGGCACAAAGGCACTCACTGTTGTATATAGTGGTCCTGTGGCAATTGGATGTGCTTCAGTACAGCTGCATTCTTGGAGTTTATTATATGTAAACGAAGGCTAAAATCTTAATTTCTGTCTACAGAGTGATAAATTAGTCCAAGAGATGTTACGTATTTCAGGACTTTGATAAGTCTGATTCATTCTTACCCAATGATTTCAGTGTCAAATCAAAGTCTGTCTTGTTGGAGTTATACAATATGAGAGTACATTCAGTGTATTATGCTGTAATTTTCAGACACAAGAACCAATTGAAGATGAGAAAACTTCTCTAGCTCCTGACAAACTGCCAAGCAGCTTTGGGGGCCACCAATCAACTACTCCAGGCTCAAGTATGAAGAAACAAGTAGTGATTAATAGGTGAGCGATATGACCTGACTGAAAATGACCAATACTCTCATATCAAAATCTTTACATGCAGGAAATTTCCATATAGGATAGGTGTTAAATGTTGTGCCCTTTTGTTTAAACTTTACTTTGTGCTTGGTTTTCCTGGACAGCAATGATGCAAAGATCCGAGCCATTGAGAACAAACTGAGACAGATGGAGAATGCCAGCGCTGACTTCAATGTTGTCCCTACATTCCCTGGTTTAGCAAGAGGCAAGTCCAGCAGACAAGGACACTCTGACAAGCGGTTTAAACCATACAAGAAGAGGTGACACAAGCATTAACTCACTTTGTACAGGTGCAATATTACATGTGTATTATTCTACCCTCCATAGTGCTCTGTGACTAACTCCTGGTATACTTGGAAGTTGCAGGGACAGACTGAAGCAGTCTCAATTAGTTTTGCATTTCATCTTTGTGGATTGGTTTGAGAAAATTTGGTGACACCTCACGTTACTCATCACATCAGCACAATTATCTGGAGAATTCAGTCTGCTTGGTTGCTAAAAAACCATTGAAGGTACCTGTTCTCCAGGTAGTTGGATCGTGTTTTCCCTATCATGCTCACTCAACATTGGCACGCAGCGGGGTATATGTTGAGTTAACTGGACTTGGGCATTGAGAGGGTCATAAGCCTTTCACCTTTTCACATGTACAGGCAATTTGTTAAGGATTTTAATTTAGATGTGAAGCAATTATGTCCAAATTGCTTTTAGGCTTCTTCTTTTTTATACATGTATACTGCTGTTAATGTTATGGCATGTTACCAGAGTGCTTCCAAGTAGCAAAGTTAAAAAGTACAATGTATAAGAAGTTTCTGTCAAATTTCCTGCATTTGAAGAATAATGAAACTCACCAAAACATTGTGGATGATCTCAAAGAAAAACTGGATAAAGGCATGAAGTCAATAAAGCCTTGAATAGAGTCATGGCTAAGTGTTCTAATAAATTTGACTGTTTCAGCTAAATGATTAAGAAATTCAGTGAGGGCGAGCTGGGCCTTCTGCCTGTATTGATCAGATTATCTCCATAACCATAGTAAGCTAAATGCAAGACCGTTAGCATGTGCCCGCCCTCTCTCGTTTAAAGTCCAAGGATTGGGTCAGACTGACGCTCATATCTGGAGAATGCACGAGGGTGTACAGAATTTCATCAAGGTTGGAATTTTAGCTCTGAACAGACTAGATGATGTTCTTGCAATATTTAAGACCAACCTTATTGCAAAAAATTTAACAAATCTTTGCCCAACCTAAAAATGGATTGAAATTTCTCTTAAAAAGTGCCGAGTCATGGTGAATTGCACTTCATTGCATTTTTGTCACATTGTACACTTTCCTCTTTTTTGGCATATAAGAAATCTCATCTGTCATTTACTAAATTGAGGTATCAAATTTGCTTAGATTTTGGTCTCCAGGTCTGATTTCCAAAGAGCTACATGGAATAGATGTGTAATTTTGGGTAGTTTTTTTACATGTAGAGTCCATGTGCTCCCTTTAAAGTACATATATGGACGAGTACTATCCCTCCTTTGAAGAAACAAGCCCAAAGAGTCCCACTAAGGTTGATTTCATACCAGAGATGTTTTGTGGTCAGTGGCTGGGCATATGGCCCTTAGCAGTACATTCAAGGTTGCACAAGAGCATATCAGTACATTCAGTCCACACTTGTGCTCTTTATAAACTGATAGATAATGTAGATTGTACAGTAATTATTACTGGTTGAACTCCTCATAAAGGCTCCATTTGAAAATAATTTGCTGTTATTGACTCCTAGACAAGAGTACATGTATCAAGTTCAAGTGAACATTAAACTGAGCTCTGGTGAAGTAAATTGTTCCCGATAGATAGACTTTGTGATGAGTGAGATTTTTATTTAAGTGGCAACTGAAGAGATTGCAATTGGGCAGTGTGCTTTTATGAAAACACCCAATGCTGATGCATTTGCAAAGAACATTAGGCGTTGGTACAAACGGAGTAAATTTCAGCCGTATGTCTTATGCTGTTGGGTGCAAAATTGGGAGATTCAAGGAGTATACATTTTAGCCCAGTCTTTAAAATTTCCTGATACATGTACATGTAAATCTTTCCATCCTCCAGATTGCAATGACAACTGTATCGCACTCAAATTTGCGGTGTCCATTATATATCAGTGGATTGTGCTCGGTGAGAATCACTCACATGTTTCCCACTAGGTAGTCTCAGAATGGTCCACACACTGCCCAGCGGATCGCTAGCACCTCTAACTTGAAAGCTGAGTGATTGCGGTCATTCCTTTCAGCTGGACGCAAGGCCCTCAAGGCGTACGCAATTAANTTACTGACTTCTTTCCCTCCTTGACTTGGGATAAAATTTCCCCCCAGTCCAGTTAAACTTGCATCAGTCTCTACCACAAAAGGAAGAGAAAAAAACAGCAAAGGCAAGTACTGGTTCTTCCGTCAGTTTGGCCTTCAGGGTCTCAACAGCAGCCGGTGCTTGTTCGCTCAGCGTGATTTCTTGACGCTTGCCCCTTGTTCGAGCCTTCCCCTTTTCGGAGGTACCCTCGAGGTGGAGAAACATGGTGCTGCTATGCTGGAGTAGTGTATGATGAATCTTCGGAAAAATCCAGTTCGGTGATAGAAGTAGGTTGTGGCCGATCCTTGACCACGCTTATCATGCTTGGGTCAGGTCGGACCCGCTCCCCTGCCACGACCAGATGCCCCATACATTTCACCTCAGTTTTGAAGAACGCACTTTTGGAGGTTTTCACCTTCAACTCATACTGTTGAAGCCGACTGAACACTAGCTCCAGTCTTCTCAAGTTCTCGTCATAAGTGTTGGAAAAGGTTATGACATCATCCAAGTATATTAGGAGACTCTGAAAGGCCCGATCTCAGAAGCATCGTTGCATGAGGCGCTGGAATGTTGAAGGACTATCACATAGCCCAAATAGCATCCTGGTGAATTCCCAAAGGCCGAATGGGGGTGATAAATGCAGTTTTCTCTATGTCATCTTCTGCCATTTCCACCTAGTGGTAACTGGAAGTTAAGTGGAGTACACTGAAAAACTTGGCTTCACCCAGTGCCTGGCGAGACTCGTCAATTAATGTGGGGTAGTGGAAATGAGCTCTTGTGGGTCACAACATTTTAATTTCCGATACTCCACACACAGTCTTATGGATCCGTCTCGTTTCTTGACGACCACAATAGGAGATGCCCAGAGGCTGACGCTCTCCTGGATAATTCCAGCCTCAAGCAGCTCTTGAATGTGGGCATGGACTTCCTGGTATTGTGACGGGGGAAGCAATCGGTACCTCTGTTGAATTCGTGGAGATTGACCAGTATCAATACGATGCTTAATGACATGTCATGCATGGAGAAGACGCTAGCATGGGCTCGCAGTAAGTCCGAAAATTCGGCTACTTCGTCTGGCCTGGGCTGAGATCCAATTTCAACATCTTGCAACTGGGTTGGCTGGCATTGAAGGGTACAATCATTTCCCACAGTCTGGTCTGATTCTACCTCCTCGGCATGGTATAATGTTCCGATTCATGTGTTGTTGACTAACACAACATCAGCGCCGGACACGTTGGTCAGAGTGATGGAGAATTTTCCCCTGATAACCTTTACAAAACACCGCCCAAGCTGGACAGTGCACGGAAGATTTGAGCCTTCCTCTGGCTCCAAAACAGCTTGGTATGCCATATTGTCAGGAGCTGGTCTTGCAGTGACTGTAATGACGATGGCCTGACCTGCTGGAATGACAATGAGGGCCCTCCTGGGTATGAATGCTCTGCAGATTGGCCCTCCTATCGTTGAGAACTTGAGTCGTTTTTCGACTAAAGCCATAGCCTTTTCCCACACTGGCACAAATCCATACCTGGACCATTTACAGAGATGCTCCCCTACCACCATCAAGCCCACCTACTTCCAGCACATCGTCGGTACATTCATTCCCAGAATACAGGGTGAGTGACTAGGTGGGCTATTTGCTGCCTCTTTGATCACCAGAATCAAGCGTGAAGGGATGAGGGTTCCCAGCGCAACACATCAGCTTCAAAACACCCTATGTAAGGGATGTTGGAACCATTTGCCGACACAAGTTGGAAACGTTCTGGAAAACGCTGTAGTGGGATGCCCTTCCCCCCTCAGATGATTTTCATAGAAACCCTCTGTGATTGTGGTGACCATCGAGCCAGTATCAAGTAGACATTTTACACGTAAACCTCCCAGTTGAAGCTCCACCCCAAAACAGTCTGCTACTGCTCGGTCAAAGAATGTGTCAGGGCAAGTGGAGCTGTCTCTCTTCCCTCAGACTGCCTGGCTCCCTGCAGTCGAGGATGCTGGTTTCCCACCTGATTAACACTATGATGTGGCCTAAAGGTGATTTTCCTGTCGACTTCCATGTTGATTTCGGGGATATGGTACGCCCGAAGATCCGTAGCGGTTCATTGGGCACTGGCGAGCAAAATGCCTCGTCTTGTGGCAATTGTAGAAGGGTCACATTGTTGTACGCCTGGGGACCGGCTGGCAGATTAGACCCCCCCCCCTTGCTATGAATGGTGGGACCCAGCTGTATCTGACATTATTTGGGAATACCTCTGCTGGACCATTTGGCAGATGTGGTGAATAAGGACGTGCCAAGTTGTTGACCTCACATTGCATCGGGATGGGACGGATTGGACTAACGGGGCGGCCACGTTGAAGGCATCAACGCCTTCACAGACTCAGTCAGGGCTTTCACTTGCCCTTCCAGGTGCTGGTAGGAGTTGCTTTCTTTCGGTTCTGCAGCGGCGACATGGTTACTACGGACCACCTTGGCACGTGCATTTTCCCTTTCATCTCGTTTGATGACCCAGTTCTTTAAAGGTCATGGACGGATTTCTGTCAAGCAAGTCCCAGGACGAATGCCTTAGCCCCCTCTTGGTCGAAACCATCCACAAACTGGTCCTTCAAGAGGATGTCGGGCGGTTTGTAGTGCTCGGGATCTTTCTTCTGAAGGCAGGCGCAAGAAGCAACGCTGGAGTGCCACCGAATACTCCCACACCATCTCCATCTTGGTTCCCCAAAGGAGGTCTTCAGGTGTTGTAAGACTTCTTCGGCTCCAGCCCCCCCCCCTGACAAGAAGGGCTCTTGCCTCCACCTTTGGGGCACCTCGTAGGTAGTCCAGCAGGAACTGCCCCCTCTGTTCAGTTGGGACGCGATAACGAGAAAAGGCATGCGTGATTGAAGTAACGAATTCATCGACCGGAATGGCCCTTCCCGTTGATTCCTCCTGGCCACCAAAATCAGCACTTTTCTCTCAGGTGCCAGCCATGACTACCGTGCGGTGGTTAGCGTCTGTCTTGGTCTCGGTTTTAATTTCTGTCATGCCCCCCCCCCTCTTCTGGAGCAAGGGGATGTAGATGTGGTCTCCCCATCCTCCCTCAGGTGGCAATATATTGCTCTCGGTGTGGGGTTTACCACCTATTCGTCATTTATCATGTATAACAGTCCACTGGCCGATGGGAAGTAGTCCCTGAGGGACTGCACAGGTAGCTTTCCATCCAACAGAGAGAACCGCAAGGCCTTCTGTGACCCTTGTCTTACTCGCGCAGTCGTTGCCATGTTTGCCCTCACTCTGCCTGCAGAGGATTAGCAGGACGCACCACACAGTACTGCACAAAGCACACCTTTGGCTAGCACTGGCTGCTGCATACCAGAAATATGAACATCAACTTGTGCACTTTCCTTTCAAAATCAAACCAATCCCAATTCTGACACAATGTGGCGGCGGTACGCACGCGGTTTGGATAGGCTTTAAGGCAACTGGAAAGTATTTTTTTCAAAAGACACACACGTATAAAAGCTCACTATAAATTTTGTCAGTGTCAAACTGAATTGTTCAGCAGCATGGCCAGGCCGGTGGTAAGATGGCACAGGAAAGTGTGAAGCTCAAACCTGCCACCAAGCAAGGGCGTTGTGACCAGTTACTGTCTCACCTTTCTTGGGCACTCTGGTGGTTTGCTGCAACCCTCACATTTGCATCATGACGGGTATCACAAAACACCCCACCCTTCACAGCTACTGGTCGACCGATCCACTGCTGAAGACGAGCCTGTTCCCGTCCATCATGCCCCGAGACTGGTTCCTTGCCATCCTGCAGGCCCTACGCTTCAACGCCAACAGTGTCATGTTGGAGGACTGCCCTGACCGCCTGTTCAAGTTGCATCCTGTTATCGACCATCTCTTGGAGAAGTTATCCACTGTGCACACTGCACAGCGCTACATTTCTGTCGACGATTCCTTGTTGAAATTCTACGGGTGTCTTCGCTTTGCTACTAACAACCCGAGAAAGAGGGCCCGCTGGGTACTGCTTCAACTTCAAGATTTACACAAGCCAAAGCAACGGAGAGCTCCCAGCAACGACGTAAGTGGTGATGTGCCTTGTGAGAAATCTGAATGGCAAGGGCTACAACCTTGCCCTCGACCTGGCCTTCAGCAGTCCAGATTTATACGGCCGACTTCACTTCGAGAAGTTAAACGTCGTTGGCACTGTCATACCCAACAGAAAGTGACTTAAAGTCCGTCATTCTCCAGCGGGGCAAAACTGCGTATGGTCGGCTAACCTGGGTGCGAGTGGTTCACTTCTTGCATTGGTGCGGAAAGACAAACGGAACATCTGTATGCTCTCCACTATGCATACAGCAGATTTCAGTGGCTCCGGCAAGCGAGACTGGACGGGGGCAGAAAAGCAAAAACCAGCCTGCGTCATCGAGTACAACGCCCTGATGGAAGGCGTTGACAGAGCGACCAGCTAGCGGCAAATCACAGACAAACTTGCAAGTCCCTGAAGTGGTACAAGATGCTGTTCTTCTACTTGCTAGACTTGACCCTGGTGAACAGCTACTGTGTGCACCAGGCTGTTGGTCACCGCCTCTCCTTCCTCTACTTTTGCTTGCAACTCGAACTTCTCTTCAACGAACCCTTACCCGAGTACCCACCCCAGCAAGATACTCCACCAGCCACCAACTCCACTTTCCCATTTCCTTGGAGAAGACCAGCTACGGTGACTACTGCTATTGGCGATATGTCCTCTGCTCTTCCCAAGGGCAGCAAAAGAAGACGCACATCGAGGGCGACTCTTGCCACCAGCCCCCCTGCATCGACCCCCTGCTTCCGGGACTACTACGCCGCCCACTAAGAGACAGTTGAATATATATTTTGCATTTTCATTGAAATTTCTCGTGCATGTTTCGGGATTTGTGGCACCATTATGTCTTGAAAAATGACAAAAGTAACAGCGAAGTTCTGGTTATTTCATCTTTTAAAAAGAATGGAAAGGGTGAAAATTTATTTGACTTGTTTTATGAGTTGCACTATTTCAATTTCAAGAAGAGGAATGACGAGTAAAAGAAGTTCTTGTGGGGACCTTTTTTACTTTTTCGTGTACTTACTTTATTGGTTTCTAAGTTTTTATTGGGAATGTTGGGGGAAATACAGTTTTGGGATAGAAAATATCCTATTTGTAGCTGTTAATTTGCTACATTAGGAAGTTTTCTGTTGAAATAAAAATTACAAGGGAAGGGAAATTGGATTAGTTGGGTGATAGAAGTTGAGGGTTAAGTCACACTTTTAGACCCCAAATTTATTGAAAGTCCCATTTACCCTATAATGGCCCACACGCCCTCCACTGTTACTTAAACAAAGTCAAACAAACATGCCGCTGCACTCGACACAAATTTCACGCTGGAGTCATGACAGTCAGTTGCATCAATGAGACCCGGGTTCGAGTCTTGGCTTGGCCCAGGCTTTAAGTGCATTTGGTTTCCAGTCCATACTCGCTCTCGCAGGTTTTCTCCGGGTACTCCGGTTTCCTCGTGCCTCTAAAACTGGACCTTCTTCCTAACTCCGTAATGTGATGCTGATTAATAAAGTGTATGAATAAACGTACAGTTACTGGCGCGAATAGCCTGACTTGCTGAAAGCACGATTAAAACAATGACAACATACAGGTCATTTGCTGTCGAACTTCCTTCCTTCTACATTGTACTTTCTTGTCGGTCTGTGCCAGCTCCACCATAATGTATTCCAGTAATGACGGTTTGTCCATATATCTGACTCAAAATTCATTTCAAGATAATGTTGAATCACCCTTAAGTAATGACTCAAATCAATACCCAGTATTTCTGGACGTATCTGATGATGAAATAAATGTTGGAGGTGGCAAAATGGGGGGGGGGGAAACAACCTCGAATATTATCTCATTTGGAAGGCTCCAGCCGATTTGGGACCCCTGTAACCGACCAGAAAATGACGGGAAATGCTAGAGAAGGTAACAAGACCATATCTTTTTATTTCAACATTTGGCACGGTTTGTTGCACCATGGATATGGTAGTGTGTATGGGCCGCCCGGCTTTTTGATGTGTGGAAAGTGGAGATAAATGGATCAGCCGTTACGCTGAACATCAGAGTGGTTTAAAAGCCATTACTCTCGTTGTCCCGGTACATTCTCATACTATAATTGAATAGGGGTCCAGCCCCCAGCCAATCGCTCAGAAACGGCGGTCTGTCCGCCACTGAAGGGGAAATCAGAGGCCGAGTCGAGGCAGGAAAAAAGGAATGAGCCCAGCCGCATAGCCCGGTGATTGGTTTCTGTGGAAAAACCGTTGAACGTTTTTGTTACTAATAGACAATTAAAGTGAATGGGCGATTGAAGGCATTAATTTGCTTTTCAATCTTCTTTACACTCTTGATCAAAAGTTATAAGGCAAGACAGAGGAAAGCATGAATTTTGAGGGGAAGTGTGTTCTCCCCTCCCCGCTAAAAAAGAGGAAAGAAAAACGCGTACACTTTCGTTATGGTGGGGACATAATGTTTCCCTTTGGTACTTCGAACATTATAGAAAGGAGATATTTAATACGAATCTATTTGTCGTGTTCCCCCAAAGCAAAATCTAATTAGTTGTTTTATTTGAGAATTTTAGTTGTTAGGAACTGGGGATATATTCCTCCCATTCACGTGTACCTTGATTAGTTTAGCGTTTGTCATGACGGGAGGGGTTGATGCAGCACAGCCGCGGTAACCAGGCTCCGTACGACAGCTCTCCAGAACTATGGTCTTGGGACGTTGCAGAAAGTACAGGCTTAGCGTTGAAATGTCGCTAATTAATCTTACTGTCTGGTAAACCATTACTTTAATGACTCAAGCAATTTAAATGGGTTATCGCCCAATTCTTCAAATCCACTGCCAGTAAATTCTGACGCCTTCCCATGTTTATCAGTCAAGCATCTTTAGGTTCCGACTATTCTGACCAAGACACCTGTCTTTGAGGTAGAAGAGATTAATAGTCTGTCAACCAGTTGCACACCGGAATCGTACGCAGGTATTTACCGATATTCTCGCTTTGGCTGCTTCCTCATTCATTAAACTAATTACTGGTAATTAAAGTTGACGAACCGTCGGATCAATGATTTATTCATCTGAAGTTCTTATCACCAAGCCGGATAGTCTGCCAACCAGCTGCATGCCATTCCAGAGTGGGTAGTCCGTGCCACAACTCACCGGAATCGCACGCAGGTATTACCGATAGTCTCTCTTTGGCTGCTTCCTCATTCATTAAACTAATTACAGGTAATTAAAGTTGACGAACCGTCGGAGGAATGATTTATTCATCCGTTGTTCTTATCACCAAGCCGGATAGACTGCAGGCTTGGTAAAATGTGATAAAAGCCCTCGTAAGAGTCATTTTCAGCAAATTCTTCGACAACTGCTTTGACATATGTAAACGGTCCTGATCACGGTAACGATGCTGCGTCTACTTGCTGTTCTGACGGTGGCTGCAGTAGGTCCCCTCAGCGTGGAGTGTGATGGACCGAGAGTCAGCATCTCTGGTCTCGGTGCTGTAGTAGGCGAAACTGTTCACTTCCAGCATCACTCCTACCCTTCCATAGATACTTATATCGATGTCTACAGGGGTATCCCATATGTTGAGAAGCCCGAGCGCTTCGGCAAGCCCCAACCTAAGAAACCGTGGTCTGGTGACTTTGACGCTTCTCAATTCGGGGCGGATTGCCCTCAGCCAGGTTCAAAAGCCGCTAGCGAAGACTGTCTTTTCATGAACATATGGGTACCTAACCCAAGGGTGAGTAGTTGTTTGAAATCAAAGCGACAGAATAAAGTCGATTATGCTCAGAGCTTTATTATGTCCTACTTCTCAAACGAGTTACTTGCATAAGTAGGGGAACATCATTGAATGCCTTAATGACCTACACTAAAATATAAGCTAAAGACGCCTTTCCATGTGTACGTTTTTGGTACGTGCGCAGCGTACGCGATGCTTTCATGCGTTTCACTCTCACAGACACAAAACACGTCTCCATACACACGTCAAAATCGGCCTGGGAGCAATGACAGACGCAACGCTTGGTGCATATGTTGAGGCGCATAAGAAAATGCACCTTAATCCGGCAGCAGGCATCAGAACCCCTCAGTTTTGCGTGGGCACCATGTTATTAGGGGGCGTTGAATATCTTTTAAAACCAGTATGTCTCATGTTGAAAAACATCGGTATTGGGTAGCGTACGTTTGCAGACAAACACCCTTTGTTAGTGTAAGCATACATAACACCTCGTCATAAAAACAGTGGTGTTTTCTCTTACTTTATATTTGTAGCCGAGATGTTCATCATCTTGTATCGTGATAGCTGTGTGAGGTTTTTAACACGATGTCTCAGTGAATTATTCTGCTACTTTGTACCGATGGCCAGTCATAGTTTTAAGAATTAAAAATAGAGCAGCCTCTATGGGATGTTGTCGTTGCCAGAATTCATGCATATGTCAAGTTTAAGAATGCGCCCAAATAGAATGAAAAATCCTTCGATTAGTCTTTAAAGGTGGCCTCACACTGGAGTTCAGGGGCGAATCCAGGAATTTCCCGAAAGGGGGGGGGGGCGGTCAGGCCAGAGATTTTTCGAAGTGTCTCATTTTTTTGGACAACCGGAAACGATAATGAAACATTATATGACATACATGTACATTGTTTACAATGGTATTGGTGTACCCATAAAAAGTTATATTTTATTATAATCCCATTTTTAAAAACTGTTTTGCCTCAGAGCAGGGGGGGGGTTGCTTGCCTTCCAACTGAACTAGGTACGTGGCAATTGAATCGTCAGACAAGAGCTGTGAATTATACGTATTGATTTTCACCAACGGCAATAAGTTCACATGGGAGGCTTAACCCCTGAACAAATATTTCCCAAATCCCCTCCCCCAGCCAAAAATCCTGCATCCATCCCACGAAATTTTCTGATATCCTTGTGTCTCAAGTTCCCTTTTAGTGGTATATCTCATATAACATCACATTTGTTTAGCCATCAAAGGCAGCCGTCATGTTGTATATCCACGGAGGAGCGTTCATATCAGGCTCCGGGTCAATGGAGACTTACAATGGCGTAGCTCTGGCAGCCTACCATGATGTCATCGTCGTCAACTTCAACTACAGACTGGGCGTGTTTGGTTTCCTCAGCACAGGTTGGTTTAACTGTTTACTAAGGTACAAATGGGCTACCAAAGGAGGCAGAATAACGAACCACAAATTCTCATTAGACTTACCCCACTTGTGTACAATGATCTTCGATAAAATTAATTGAGAAAAAAAATTACATCGTTGTCATTTGTTCCATAAATCTATTTTGAGTACTTGCGATCCGAAAAGAATGTCTGAAATCTTATTTTAACATGTAGGAGAAGAAGTAGCCAATAATTATGCACAGCATTTATTCCGTTCAGGTTACTCAGCCCCCCATAAAAATTTTAATCTGTATCCAATGCTGATGTTGGATTTCGTACCCAACCTTGCTTGCAGGGGACAACGAACTCCCTGGTAACTATGGAATGTGGGATCAACTGGAAGCATTGAAATGGGTCAAGAACCACATAGCTGGTGAGTTCAGACGAAAATACTGCCGTTATAAAAACCTGACCAAGTATTTTGAAATGCACAAGTTAGTGATTAATCTAAAAAAAATCTTCCTCTCAACCTTAAGCTCACCTGTTGTGAGAAACCGTTGTTTGTTCAAACTAATGATATGTGGAGTTCAGCGGGGTGTTGGAGTTGAGGGATGACTCAAAAGCGAATGCTGCTTTGGTCTAATTCAACATGATGTTGGGGTGAAAATGTATGAAAGCCTTACTCAGAGTCCCGACATCCTTGCTTTTATTTCGTGGTGTTGGTTTGTTATCGGGTTGTGGTGCTAATATTCGATAAATTGTCATTAATATTTGCTGAAACAATGGGGGTGGCCCCTGCCTCCCCGCTGGATAAGTCACTGATGGAGTTCTTTTGTGACGGCTCCCTCCGAAGATTATCTTATAGTATTTACCAAATCTCGTCACAGATTTTGGAGGGGACGACGATAAGATCACTATCTTTGGAGAAAGTGCTGGGTCTGCGTCAGTTAGTCTCATGACATTAGCTAAGCAATCTTGGGGTTTCTACAACAGGGCTATCATGCAGGTATGTTGACAAAGGTGCCTTACAATACGTTCCCAAATGTCTAAGATGAATACAGAGGAATTTTAGAATAATGGGTAGAGGCAGACATGGAAAGGAAATTAGCACCATGGACGATTTTATCCTCAGGATTGTTATACATTCCTCTTAAATATATCTTACATGACACTTTTTCATGATTGCAAAACACCCCTATTGGCTTTGTTGAAAGGGTATTTTACCAAAGCGTTGTCATTTTCCACAGCAAAATAACGCACCGATACTATGGTGCCATTTCCGGTAGACGCCGTTCATCTTTAGGGAGTTCTCTTGATCAAATTATGAACGTAGATTCTTCCCCTTGGAATTCTTTTATTTGGTAACTCCACAACAGTGTTTGAGAAATAGAAATGTCCAAAGTTTTGGCCAATTGGTGCTTCAGTTGCCGTAACATCAAGGGGTTCCTCTTGAAAGAACAATGCATTTTTGCTGAAGAATGTACAAACCTTACCATCACGAAGCCACAAAGAAAGTGTGAAATTTGGCTGAATAGGACACAAAGGTGAGTTTTCAAGAAATGCTTTGAGAAAATCACTTCCCTGGGACGTTTTAATGAGATCACGACCAACGAAGCTATTAGACGTGTTGTCTTTCTGGCTGCCAGTTAGTGATTAATTTCTCCCGTGTAATTTCTTTTTCTTCAGAGCGGGACAGCCTCCTCTCCCTGGAGTGTACTAGACCCAACAACAGCTCGGGACCACGCTTTCAAACTCGGTCGGCTTGCTCAGTGTGGGGAATCTATCAGCAGTTCCAGCCTTCTCAGTTGCCTGAAGCAGAAATCAACAAGTGATCTCGTGGTCGTTATGAACGTTGTAAGACTGAAAGCCTTCCTGTCAAAACAATTAGCTCAGTAGTCGCCTAATAACACAGTATATCCCAAAAGGTGTCTATCTCAATCATCAATGCATTTGGATGAACAAGACCTACAAGTACATTGTTTTATTTGTGCATAATGAACACTCCTGATCCTTGCCTAAGCGGTCCGTATACGTTTTGTTTATTCGTTTTTTGATTTGAAAAGAAACAACAACAATTAAAGATACGTCGGTCCTCGTTTTTCAATTTAGAAAAGAAATCTAAAATCGAAAGAAAAGATCAATTGAAAGCAAAAAGTGGGAGAGGACGGACAAAATAATTTTTCGTTTTCCATATTGAAACAATAAAAGCGAACAATTTCCTTTTAAGTTTCATTTTGATCCGAATTTAGTTCCACTGCAGGACATGAAATTCGCAGTAGGCGGGGAGGTACTAGGTAGTCACTGCCTCCTTAAATAAAGCATGGCGTCACTAATTAAGTCCAAGAAGTGCAGCATGCCAAATGTCTGTTATTTTGTAAACATTTAACGTGATAAAAATTGTGCAAAAGCTGATATCATTATGTAGAAAAATATGAGTAATTCTTTAGACTTGTAATGTATGTAGGGAAATCGAAAAAGAGAGGTAATTTATTTACGTCCAAAGTTTGTGAATGATATCGCTAGCGCACTTCCCCTTGCCTTGAGCTGGACCAAGAAAGGGCGCTGTTTTCTTAGCATTGGAGGCTCCATACGTCGGGACTGAACTTCGCTGTTTAACGAACAGCTAGGAAATGCACGTTTTACGGTCTTGAATTGAATACACCCAACCAACATGACTCTGTTTAAACCGATGAGAGAATGGTTCTGCTCAAGGCGGATAAGATAGACGTTAGCCAACTGTGAGAATTTTTTAGTGGGTTGCTCCTCTTCGTTTTTTGGAAGCAACGGCTTCATCGTAGTCCTCTATTTCAGCACTGCTTTATTCATTCTAATTTAGCGGGCTACAATCAAGCAATGACGTGTCCTCCCTTAAAAATGGAAACTGAACAGTTTTTCCACTGCAACAAATGCTTTGGTAGATTTTGACGTTATTGTTTTTCACACTGAAAAACGAAACACAAAATGATTGTCGTTTTTTGTTCAAATTTTTGTTTTTATTCGTTCATTTTTATTTTTTGAAAAACGAGAAATGACTTGCTTTTCACTTTTTGGTTTTCTCTTTCAAATTGCTAAAAAGGACTTATTTCACTTTTCATTTGTTTTCATTTTCAAATCATAATATGGACGAACAAAACTTTTTTGGACATACTGTACAGTATATGTCACGCTGGTCTATGTGCTCAGTATGACAATAATAAAATATATTTATATCAATATCCTCGTATTAGTCTTTATGGTATCAAAAAGGAAAATATCAAGTTTCACTTTTTGGATGGAAATTAATAGTAAACATGTCTCCTCAACAAATTAATGGTTCGATTTGTCTGCTATCCAGTGATGTTGCAGCTGAAACCACGCTCACTTACACGGTGTGGCAATGGAACCAGAAGTACAACAAAGTTGCTGCATTAGCCAATCGTTGTTCTTAATAATCAGTAAAGTGTGCGCAAGTATGACAAATCACTAACAAATCTTCACTGATACTACCAATTGATAACACTGTCATTTCCTCCGTTTCCGATTGTGTAAAGACTTCGCACTAGTCGAAATTACGTTCCGATCCGAACCTTGTCAATTGCAAACTTTTTTCCTGCAGATATTACGTGACGCCGTGAAGGCAAAGACTAACATCATCCCGTTTGTGCCTACTATCGACAGAGAATTTCTCACCGAAAATCCGGCAGAGCTGTACAAACGTGGAGAGTTCAAGAAGACCGATGTTATGATCGGTACCATGAGGGATGAAGGTGCCATGATAGCATTTGAAGCCTTCCTTCCCCGCTCCATACTTGGAGATCTTTTAATCACCGAGAAGATTTTTGATGAGCGTCTTAGTGACTACATCTACATCAAGCACGACCAGGCGATGGTGGACCTAATCCGAGAACACTACGTGGACCCAGGTCAGTCCAAGTACTTCCGGCCGTTTTCGAGTCTGACTGGCGACGAGGCCTTCGTCTGCCCCACCGATGCTGTCGCTAAAGCCTTTGCTTCGGCCAACTCCAATACCTACTTGTACCAGATGACCCATGTTTCGTCGTTCCATCTCTTGCCCCTGCCCTTTAATGATATTGTTCCTCACGGTGATGACCTCGCGTATGTCTTTGGCAGCGCATTCATGCAAGGTTTAGATCGACCAGTCTCATTGACAGAGGAAGAGATTGGTATGTCGGCAGATATGATGAGATACTGGACCAACTTTGCCAAAACTGGGTAAGAAAAGCATAGTGTTTCATACTGTGGAATGAATTGGGGGGGTTGTAGTGACCTTTTCCAATCAAGACACCCAGAATGAACATTTTGGAGTGTGATAAGTTTACATGCAGCTGTTCGTTGTATAAGAGTGTTATGTTGTGAGATAACCTTAATATGCTCAGACAACACAATTTGCAAAGACCTGGCTAGGGTGGACTTGCATAGTCCTAGTGTGAAGCGATTATCAGTCGCTCTTTGTATGAAAATTATACCAAAGGGATACACCGTTTGGAGCTTCCATTCCCGTTTTCTTTTCTCTATCAATGAGTGGCGTACATTCGTGTCAGAAAGTGGGGGAAATTGGACAGTGTGTTGGGGGGGGGGACTGACACCATATTACTCTATAGAGTGCGGTATGTTCGTAATACAGAAGTGTGTATTACGTTTATGGAAAATCTTACATTACACTGGCATATTTATGGCCACAAGAAAGTGGATAAATGATGCAATAGCCCATGGCGCAAATCCCGGGGGTGGAGCATAATCCCCTCACTTTTTGATGGGGAGGGGGTGTTGAATCATCCCCCTTTTCATGCTGAGAAAAAAATAAGGCCCATTGTGAAGACATTTCGGACTTCCCAGCTACCAAAATGTAATCAACAGCACTCAGTAAAGGAGAACTTTTTAAAAATGCCACGCTATTCTGATATAAGTTCATGTAACACATGTACATCTTTCATCGTTCTTGACCACACAAACCAAATTTATGGTGAAAATGTTCCCTTCTCACTTGTGATTTACAAGTTTAAAAACATTGTTAAGGCAATAGGGAGGATTCGAACCTGAGACGGAGGATTTTAAGTTGGGAGTATTTCCAACCAATCCACACATCCGTTGCAAAGTTCTGGTGAATTTAATACTCTTGTACTCACTATACAACCGCTCATTATTAAAAGCCTTGGACAAAATTTGAATAATGCAAAAAGCACAGAAGGCCCCCTCTTTTGAAAACGTCGGATTTTTTGTTTGGGAAAAGAAAATACGCAGCTGGAAAAGTCAGTCCCCCCCACAATTCCCCAGCCCGCTTCCCTCAATTACCGGCTTAAATCTACGCCACTATAATAGCCCATACTTCGCTCAACACCTGAAGGATTATACCCCCATCACCCGAGATTTACGCCCATACCATCCTGACTTTGCCTGGCGTCTATTCTCAAAATCCTGCGTCAAACATTTTTGTCTGTATCCATTTATAATTACAACCACTTGTATTCTTGCATTATATCAGCAATCCTAACATGGAAAGTAAGAGAGGTGTAGCAAGGGTCAGTTCCAAGACATGGCATAAGTTCAACGCACAGACCTTATACTACAAAGACTTATCGCCGTCAATGGTGGATAGACAGCGTCTCCGACAGGACGAGTGCTATCTCTGGAACGTACAACTCCCACAGATGGTCCCCAGGTATACTCACTGTTTTCTGCTTTTCGTCTTAATACACAAACTACACGGATTAAAGCAGGGACGGATCTAGCTATCAGGAAATGGGGGGGGGGTGATGGGCGTACTGAAGGGGTGCCCTGCTAAGGGGATTTACTGGAAGTCGATGTAATTGTTTTAACTACAGATGGATAGATGGACAGTGCAATTCTCGTCCAGGAATGTTTTTTCTTGTGGTAGACCTACTCATTTTCTNTTTCTTTTTTTCATTGGGACTTCCATTTAGTCCACGGCTGAACGGGGATTGCACCCTTCCACCCCCCTCTAGATCCGCCTCTGTAAAGGGTGGCTTTTGAATTTTAAACAGGGTAGAAAATGAAATAAAATGAAAGGCTTTGATTAACTAATGTTATACGCATATGGACTAGCAATGAGGTGACTAGTGCACGTCTATGTTGGCCTCGGGAAATAGGCCCCTCTTGTGGTCACTCACAGGCCCGAGAGGGCATTGGCGTGCACTGATGACCGAATTTGGCAAGTCCATATGTATTTTATAACACACCTCCAAATAGACAAATATTCTTTCAGGGTCTTAACTGTTTTAATTCAACTTTCAATAGCACTTCAGAAATTGCAAACAACTTAAAGATTCATTTTAGTGTCCCTTGAGCTAGTATAATTTTGAGTTGCTATACTTAACAAGGAAAATAATTTTTCCACGGTTTTAACTGTTTAGATCAAACCTTTCACTTTTCAACCTCTAGAGAGCGCAATAACTAGTGAAAGATTTTCAAGACTGGGTGCATTCCACCAAATGGTCGTATTTCTGCGCGCAAACTCGTTACTTATTTTATAATCCCAAGGGGGTTTTTACAATAAGACATGCCATAACCAGAAAGGATTATAGAAATATTTCTATAAATCCCGAAACTGAAACTGATAGTATCCAGTTCGGAATATTTCTTTCACAAAAAGCCCCAAATTGCGGGCCTATTTTGGATAGAAGCGGGCGACTATATTCAGAGCTGAGCGCATCGTTTTACTACTATTTTAGGGGTATCCACGGAGAAAGGCCAAGAAAACAAATTTTCGTGGCTAACCCCCATAAAATTGAAACGAAAAGTGATCTTCTGGCCATAATCTTGAATTTCAATTGAAAAAGCGGAGGCCAACCTCTTCACGAGAATCAACAGGCAGCGCCCTTTCGGTCTAATTTGACTGTTTTCTATGGGCGCGTATTTGGTGTAGTGTAACCTAGTACTTGACCGGGCACACTACTCGTCTCTGGAATTGACGCGCACGCAAAGTCAAGGCGCGAGTCGAGTCATGCTGAAGTTAAATTCATGTACTACCCCACATTAGTGAACCACACGTGCCCTTATTTCAGCCAACTAGGATAGAGAACCAGGAATAGGTGTGCTATACTAAAACGATTTTGTCGGCCTCGGGAAATAAGACCCTCTTCTGGTCACTCACAGTCCCTCGGGGACATAGACGTGCTTTAGTTACCTCATTGCCAGTCCATATGTGGATGTATTAATACACGGTCAAGTTGCACGTTGTTGAATAGACACTTCCACTAATACATTCTTATTTATGTGCGCATGCGCATGAATGGCACGTAAAGGCAAAAAGTTTGAGCGGCCCATTCCTGCCATTGAAAAGTGTACAGGGGCACAACTGTCAGCGTCATTTGCTCTCAGCTTCTGCCCTTTTTTAACTGTCGTCTTCGGAAAACCCTCTAAAATCATTACAGCTATTACTTTCGGGTTTGAGAGGAATTTTGTACAGCAAAATAAAAACGCGATAAATGTTCGTTTGAAGCTCACGAAGGCGAAAGAAATCAGTAGCGTTCGTTTCTGTGTGAGCTATAAAACAATTGTGCAACTCGTTAGGGTATCTTCCATTATTCCCGGTCGACAACATACCTAGCAAAACAAATCTTAACAATGTTAAACAATCTGAAGCTAGCCCGCAATTCATCTTGCGTTCAACCCACGAATTAGCTTAGTACGAGTGGTGCATAGTACCCAGAAGTAGGCCTATGTAACTATCAAATTGGACACGGTCGGAAAGAAGTCTTGTCAATTTCTGTTGACCTCATGCGCTCGGGGATAATGAAAAGGCTGCTTTTTTATTCAGTGCAGAGTAAAATAGTTTTAGACCAGAAAGTAATAGCTATAATAATTTTAGAAGATTTTCCGAAGATTAAAGTGAAAAATTTGTTTCCCTGTACATTTTCAATGGGCTGCTCAAGCCTTTGATTCTACATGCCATTTATGCTCATGCACACATAAATTAGAATTTATTAGTGGAAGGGTCTATAGAGAGACTGCTTGAAGTATTTATGAATAAATCATAATGGTCACCTTAATTGCATAACAGGTTCTACATTTTACGAGGTCATGGGAACAAAAGAAAGGAAAAAGCGCTTGCTTGCATAGTGAAATAGCCAAGGGAAATGATTGAGTGTGTGCCTGGCTTGAATCGGAGAGGGTTCTGTTTATCCCTTTTCTTCTGTCTGCTTCCTATGGGAAAAGATCAGTTTTGAGAGGTTATTAATTTATTGTCCAAATTCGTAGCCTTGACCTTTGCTTTATCCAAGGAGAAGAAACGCTCACGGCAACATGTTACCGACTTTAGCCTCACTTATCAGTGTGGTACCTATTTCATTTTAACGTCACCCTGCCAGGTTTCTTTGAAAAGCCTTATTTAATTACAGTGGCTTGTTGCCAGATAGGATCTTAAATTGCTGAATGAAAATATTGAATCAGCCACATGGTTTATCTAAACAACTCCAGTTGCATAAATTTCCCAAATGACGTCTCCAAAGTTTTCGTCTTAATTAATATTGTAATTTGTAACGCTTTATAATCGTGCTGTAACGTAACGCAACAAACATTTTCTGCTCCTTTCTTACCTGTAGTGAACGCAACGAAGAAGTGCCATCCCAGCAAGAGATCACGGATGACTTACCGGAGCCGAACAACTTACCGATACCGGGCAACCTCCTGACAATTATGCTCATTGGTCGCAACTGAAATGGTAGAGTGGCATGGGCCGCAGGGCAAGTCATGCCAGTACTGGCTTTTTTTTTTCATCTGCTCAAAGAGTTGGGTCTGCTTGATTATTTTTCTTTCTAATTACTCAAATCCTAAAGATGGTTTCGAATTTTGCTTTGATTTATATGCATCAGATTTCTTCAAGCATTCCAACATTTCTTTTTGTCTCTTATTCTGAGTCCAAATGTGCGATTGGGAGTCCCACTAGAATTCTACAAAAAACGTTCGATTCCAGTGAAGTTTGTTGATAATTTATAATAACAAATTTTAGATATGGTAAAACTGGAGCTTTCTCTGCGAGGATTAATTTTCATGTCCTGTGCAAAGCGGTCTCTTTCTTTTGCCCAAGAGTTTTAGCCCTAAAAGACTTCAAGCTCCAAGGATACTAGTGACAGCCTATACGTTTAGTACCTGAACCGCAAACATTGCTTAACTGGGCGTACTTTCTCAATCCGGGCCTTCTCAGTATATCGTATGGGTCGTTTTAAAATGTTATAGTTGCAGTATACTACAGTTTGGCTATTACTTTGAGAACTGCCCACTAAAAGTTAAAACCTCATCAACTTTTTTTTCTGTTAGGAAACGAATGTTTAAAGGTATTTCCGGCAATTGGGTCATTCTTCTCCACCACTCAGCTCGGATATGATACAATATTGGATGCCCCCCCCCCAAAAAAAACAATTGATGCAGGGTTGAAACACGGTAACAAATCTGCTTGATTAATAAATATGAAGAATGTTAAATCTCATTACTTTTTAAAGCCAAAGTCTGAAGCACATTAAGTTCACATTAGAGTCATTTAGATGACAAATTCCTATTGTATTTTGGCTCTCGTATTATGTTTTAATCTTCAAATAAAGCATGATTTTCGTAATTTAATTGAGACAAACGTGAAAAATAAAAATAAAAAGGCATAGCAAAAAATACAGTTTTGTATATTTTGTCCTTCATTGCATACTCCATAGGTTATATGAGGTCATTTTGTAGTTTATATATCAACTTGAAAAATTCTGTTGGAACTAGTGTCATGTTTGAACAATACAGCAGTGCAAAACTGACTCATCGAGAAAATGAAGACGATTTAATACAAAAATCTTGACTTCTTTCAAATGCCAAAGAAATTGAAAACACGAAAGGAAACAGCACACAACAACCAAAGATTGCGTTTGTCTTTATTAAAAGTGTTTATGCGCCAGTTTGCTTATTTTGGGGGGGCATTCGAATTTGTACTCTTTTCAACTGATTTGGCAGAAATTTGAAAGTGGCTTCGATGCAAGATGTGATTTGTAACCGCAGCGCTTCTTAAGTTGTATGTATGAGTTTAAGCATGTGGAACTTGAGTTTTCCGCGCACCAACAGCCCGTCTGTCTTCCTGCTGGCTACCTGCTGATCCTCTTCAAACATGGTAGATAGGAGCAGGTTGACCTTGGCACCTTCAACGCATTGCATGTTTTCTCAAAGATGATTGTTGTATCAGACTGGGTATCCAAGAAACCTTTACACCAGCCTTTTTAGTCCAGGGTTATCACGATGAGAGATCCACACTGGAACAATCATTGAGCTTTTACATCAATTGTTCGTTCGAGTGAGGTGACTAACTCCTGAGTGGGAGTTGAGTGGATTTGGGTCCCTCTGAGAATCCTGCTGAGGACTTCGGCTGTCGTCTGTCGATTTCTCTGCCTTTCTGACATCCCCATGAAGATCTGTCGGATAAGACTTCGAACAGGTTTTCCAAATGGCCCTTCGTTTGCAGCCCTTGGATGTGTGCCCTTGCTGGAGACACCCGAAGCAAAGCCCCTTTTTATCGCTAAGGCCTCGCGTTCCTCCAGTGGTTGCTGAAGAAATTCCACAGTCACGCAAGTTGTGATTCTTGTTACAGCAAAGGCAGGACTTCTGATGTTGGCTCTTCTTTCCTGTGTTGTTCTCAGAGGCCTCGTTCGCACTGGTTGAGGAGGAACTCCCGCCAGAGGTTCTTTTACTTTCTCCCTTATCATTCGTTTTATCTTGCCCTCTGAGTCCTTGTAGGGTAGTCGCAGGCGATCTTAGCCTCCATTTGCATGCACTTCACGAAGTTGCTAAATGGAGGGTACTTCTTTTGTTTTTCTTTGAACTCCACAGCCTGCCTGGCCCACTTCTTGACCACCCACTCTAGGAGTTTGGCAAGCACTTTTCTGTTCTGTCTTTCATCGTCCAGTACTTGTAGACTGTTTATAGTTTCCATAGCTACCTGGCACTGGCTAAGGAAGTCAGCAAGGTTTTGCATTCCAGTGCCATCACGTGGAGAGATCTTGAGCCAGGATTCCAGTTTATCACGGAAAGCATTCGCAATCACAAAGGGATCACCAAATCTATTCTTTTGTCTTGTCAAATGCATCATCTGAAGACAGGCAGCCCTCTACTGCCTCCTTCACAGCTCCACCCACGTGCCTTTGTAAGTAGTACAACCTCTCTGAGCGCGGGATATCCATGTGTTCAATCAATATTTCAAAGGCGTGTTTCCCAGGATCGCCAGTAAAGACACCTGGCTCTGGTGTCGGTAGGCGAGTTAGTATGGAATTCCATATCTGCCGTCGCCCGTCGCATTTTGCTTTTTGTTGTGTCCCAATTCTGCCATTTACCAGTTCCAAACATATGGTGTTCTATTCCCGCCAAATTAGCCGTCGGGGCGATGGCACGACGCGACGAAATTAGCTTAGCATGAACTCAATAAGAAAGGAGGCGACGGCACGGCGTGACGGCGCGACGTCGTGCCGTCGCTTCGTTGCGTCGGAGCAACGGTACGACGCGACGCTAATTTGGCGGGAATAGAACACCATAAATTTGGCGGGAATAGAACACCATACAAACATGCCATTTTCCGTCGTGCGTCGCCCGTCGTGCGTCGCCCGTCGTGCGTCGCCCATCAAATGGGTTGCATAGGACATGCAAAAGCCGTTGTTTAACAAATGACAATGTGATGATTCCATTCACTTCTAAAGATCTTTTCCGAATAAGGCGAGTACAAATCCCACCTGCAAAGCATGTACTAGTCACATAATTAATTCCAATAATGCTAAACTACCTCTGTCTCTTAACAAGAAAATATCGCCTCTCTGAGAATTCAACAAATTATTTTTTGGGAAAAACATTTTCAGCAAAAATGTTCCGGCCAACTTATCCACAGTGTTTTTCTAATTTGCATGCTGTAAAAATGTGCCGACTTGTTTTCATCAAATTCCAGGAAGAAATCTGCCAACCGATACAGATATTTTACCTTGTCCTCTCAATTTCACCTTGAAATCCAGAAATACTACACGTGCTGTGGATAACAAACTGTTTATTAAATGTAAGGGGCAATTACCACTTGGTTTAAGTTTCAGAAAATATGACGTGTTGGTTTTTGTGGGTGTGTATGCCATGGTTAATAGACCAATGAGAAT